AAGTAACAGGCAGTGAGGTCTTCAGCACATATTAACTTGTTTAGTACTGTAAACCTTACAAAGTAGGCCCTACCATATCCTATTGACTCTAAGACATTGTTTTCACACTTTAATATCTCTCAACTCTGATGTGTCTTACAATCAATGAAACTGTACAACCAATGCTGGCCAGATGGCAGTTATGATATAGTTGTCATTGCCTGTGCAGACACAAGCTTGATTATTCTAGTCAATAATATTATGTGAAATAAACAAAACATTTTTCCTTAAGTTAGAAAGTGATTTATGAAAAACTGAACTATGAATGTGAACGTTTTGGTAATAGCTTCACCAATTTATTTTGCTTCTACTTTCCGTTCAATGTATATATGTGATGATATATAATAAAATCTATATCTAAGTAATTATTTAAGAGTCCTTTGAATAAAGTATAAAACAAATACTCTTAGTGGCAAGAGAACCATAATTAGTTGGCAATGGTCTTTCTTTCTCTTACCTCAAATTTTAATTCTTGAATTGTATCATAGTGTTAGAGTAAGTGTTAAGAAAATATAAGCTAATACTAAGGCCATTAACTGCAGGGATACACATTACATGAGCTCATAATCATAATAATGATTTTAAAACTTCTTGCTGTTTTGACAAAGGAACATGTTTCACGGAAAGCTTTATCTAGATACTGGAATCTTTGACTATTAAAAGTAAAATGCAAATTCTTAAAGTACCAAGAAATTCTATAAGAAGCTTTGTATAGTACCTAACTAGTTAATTTTAAATTTTTCACCCAAAATATTTTCTCATTACTTTCTTCACTCTACGTCCACTCTCCTCTCTCTAAATAAATTGGATGTATTTCCAAAGAGGTAGAGCAACTTACTTTGTAAACACTGATTAATTGCATTAATAATATTGAGATGAGAACACATTTACTGCAAATTCACCCTCTCAGAGATGACTTTATCACAAATTATTTACTCATGACATGTCTTTAGTAAAGTATAACAATGATATTAATTCTTCTCTGGGTAATGTGCTTGCCTCAAGAAAAGTAGTTTGTTACTCAGAGCTACTAGATTCTATTTATGAGTTTTAGTTTATTATTTCTAACTCAAATTTCAGATAGATTATGTTCAATTCTAATTTAGGCTCTATGCTGCACAATTTTGAAATGTGTAGGAAAATAGAGCAACATGAACGCAAGACCAGTTACTCAGTGGACACTGTCTTATCTCCAATATTGTTCTTATTGATTTTCAAGCATTAGAGATGCATTACCATGCTATGAAAGATAAGCAAACAGTGTGATAATGATCTATAATAATCATTCTTTAAAGAACAGTAAAGAGAATTAAAGAAATAAAAGCTCCTGGTATAAGAAACGTAATCATTCAAATACACAAACCCACTAGAAATACGAAGTTGATTAAACATAACCTTACCTTTGCTTATGGAATCTATTATTCCATAGATATTTCAGTTAGATTTTAATGGAGGCATAATACAGTTAAACCACCCAAACTAAATGGGAATAAATGTATCAACTGAAAAAATTAACTTCTTCTAACTATTAAGATATGCACAATAGTTTCACTTATGTTAGTCAAGTATAAGAGATTTCTTTATTGCAAGGAGTAATCATAACATTTTAATGAGTGTGTATCTTTTGATATCTATTCAAATCTCAAATTTCAGTTGAAGCATGAAAATTATTAAGTACAGCAATGTTATTTTAAAAGTCTCCTTTTAACATATACTTGGTCCTAACAAATGTTTTTGTAATGTAATGACTATCTAAAATTAAATATGCCGCTGAAAATGAAGGTTTTCAAGACCTATGTAGCAAGCATAAGCAATAAAAATGAACTAATTCTTTTCATATATAATAGTATTTCCACTGATCAATATCCACTTACTGTATCCATTCATTAGCATAGCACCCCCACACACACATACACACAAAAGTTTCATGTTTTTAATGGAGTTGTCACAGAAATGAGTTTTGAGCTCTTATATGAAGAGGTAACTTTAAAATTAAAGTCCTTTATAGTTTCATTTTTGCGTTTTTAAGAGCCCCTGAATTTCAAGAGGTATTATTTGAAGGCCAGAAATTATTAATGGGCTTCTGATATTAAAATTATAACACAAAATTCTATGTGTGTGTTTATGAGACCCAAAGTTTCAAAGAGCTAAAAACAAACCAGGAGTATGTCTGGTTTAATTAACACAATATATTTTTAAAATATTCAAAGATACCATGGCTAATTCATGTCAATGTATGACAAAAACCACTACAATATTGTAAAGTAATTAGCCTCCAACTAATAAAAAATTTTAAAAAATAAAATAAAATATTCAAAGATAATACTCATTTTAAAACAGTCCTTATATTCAGACAATCAAATAACACAATTTCTGTAACAAAATTATAGAAATACTAAAAAGGAGGAATCTTTTAAATGACCTTCATTTACTGTTAAAGATAAATTGTCATTCTACTGTTCACAGGAATCTTTGCGGTTCATAACAATGTCTTAATGCTTTAGAGAAAGCAACATCTCCATGGAAAGAAAAAATATTGAGGTCTTTTCCTTTGGGGAATGTTAGTGTTAATCTATTAGGTATGACTGAATAAAGACAGATAAAAATACATTTTAACCTCCATTTACAGAAAGTCTATAAATGGAATTATCACATTTGTTACCACTGTGTAGTTAAAAGTCTTTGGGTCTCTAAAATCAAAATGACAATCTTTTAATAATTAAAAAATTACTAATTAAATAGATGTCTGGTAGTCATCAAAATAATGTCATCTTAACTTTGGACATCAGCATATGAGTGGTTTCTAAGACATTTGGAATTTTATATTTAAAAGACTTTATAAATTTATAAATGATAAAATTCCTCATAATATTTCTTAACATATGATATTGTAAGATGACACGACCCTTCAACAGAACAGATTTTTAAATTTTTGTAGAGGTAGCAAATTAAATGCAAATATTATTATACTCTAAAACGACTCGTCACCTAGAAGATTTGGAAAGAAGGACATTAAATTGTGGATTATCAAGAGGACACAATAAAATTTAAAACGACAGATCAGAACAGGTCCAGAGGTCCCGAACCTAGTTCATCCTTCCTAGTTTTCCTTCATTCTCAAATGTGCAACACATACTTTGAAAGATTTTGACTGCCAGTCAAAAATTAAATATATTTATACTTTTTTATTTAAAATTTTAAAAATCTTTATATATCTGTATTTTAAAAATTAAAGCAATTTCAGTTTGCTTTAGCATCCGATAATATGCAGTAAACATTACTATACTGAGGTCATAGCTTAACCAAAAATAATTTGTTGTTTTGAAAAGTGTGAAAGTTTCATAATTAAACAATTCCCATCATTTTTCTCAAATATTTAATAGCTTATAAACTTTAGTCATTAAATATAAACATTCCTACAGTTCTAGGAACCTCTAACTAAGATTAAGCTATATAGTGCAATACAATCTCTTGAGAGGAAAGCAAATTCAATTAGACCACTTACACAGCTAGTTAATGGCAGAGTTGTACACTGATCTTTCCACAATGCTATATTTATATAGTTATATTTTATAAACTGTATAAATCAGACACTTAAACATTGCTAACCATAATGAAGTATGAACCCAGTTTCCCTGATTGCTCCTGACCTCTTTTTTAATGAATAGAGGCACAAAATGTCACTTGTTCTCTTCCACTATGGAAAGTCTTCAAACTGCTTCACTTTTCATTTGTTTTACCCTTCCTGAATCTATACTTTTACCTTAACAAATTGCCTAGCATGTATAGATTTCTGATTTCTGCACAGAACTCTTTTTGCAAAATATTTATATATTTATATTTTAAAAACACCTTTTAAATTGGATTACTTTTTATCATAGCATTATACCAAGTAAATTCTCACTGACATTGCACTGACCATATGCAGAAAATCAGAAAGGTGGAGGGAATTAGGATCAGAAATTTATATGCAGGGAAATGGTTTCAAGTTTGCAAACACAGGTAGGCACTGGATATTTGAAAACAGAATAATTAAGAACTCATATTATTTACTAATTCTATAATTTGGAATATTCTGGATTGTTTTTAAACATAATCTTTTAATATGTGAAAATAAGTAGGTAAGCAATTATATCTTTGCTATACATCACTGCACAAAAATTAAACATATATAAATATACTGGGCAATGCAACAGCAAATAGAATGCTAATAATAGTAATATTAATAGTAATAGACTAAAATAATATTAATAAAAACAGAAACTTGTTTTTCCATTATATAAAGCATAGAACAATAAATCTACTGTACATATGGGGTCCTCATATTATTGTATTTCTTTGCTCTTTCAATTAACTAATATATACAAAGTTAAGAAACTATATTTGTATAGTATATCATCAGCTATTGTTCCATAGACTATTACATTTTTTGTCAATTTTAAGATTATAACACATACACATGATTAATTCTGCTATAGTAATGTATCATATTGAGGGGCAAGACAGACATACTTGGATTATCAGATACCCATGAAATGGAAAAAATTTGATTATCAAAAAATTCTATGAGATACAAACCAAAAAATTAATATTTATTGCCCAGAATATTCCTTTAAATTGTAAGAGTTATAAAAATAAATTATGTTTTTATAATGTGATTACCTAAATTAAAGTGATTGAAGGTTATTTAATCAACAAAACTAATATTTGTATTACTATAAATTCTAACACTATTTAAAAAAAACTGCTTTCAACTAAATAATGCTTCTACAGATATGGATTTAAAATGAGAGTGGCAAATTTTGCTCTAAAGCTTAAAAAATGCTACATTGACTTGTTCAATCTTAATAAATGAAATTGATTTGAAAATCTCTATTTGAAAGGAGCATGTCAATTAAGCACTAGAGATCCATATGTTTGTCTGAATCTTTAAATAAAACATCAAGTAATATAATTATTACCTCTCTCCGCCGAGAAGCCCAACATGTTTGCTTGATCTTCCATACCACAGCAGCCACCAATAATAAAGATAAAAAACAACTAGAAAATAAAACACAAATAAATTTAGCCTTAAACACTTGTAATATATCATGAAATAATAAAAGAATATGTAGAATATTTTAAAATATATTTAAGTAATCACTTTGCCTTGGTATGAATTCAAGAAAAAAGGGGCAAATTAGAAATTTTTAAAACATTCTCAAGTAAAATCAAAGTATACGGGTGGAAAAAATTATTTATACTCCTTCTGATACAGTATGGTCTATCTCTCAGATTTTCTCTGTCAGAAGGAATGTAACTTTACAATTCTGTTGGTTTTACATAGCAATAAATCTATCTAGAATTGCTACTGAGTTATAAATTTTGGCAATTTTATAAATTTAAAGATCACACGTTGATTCATTTTAAATTACCAGCAACTATCTTATATCTGAGAATATTCCTATAGTTCTGAACTGAAGGCGATCTAGCCCTTTCCCCTCTGCCCCTGCCCTGGACCTGGGACATTTAAAAACATCTAGATACGTATTGCTTTTGAACTGCAGTTTTGGAGAAGAGTCTGACAGCAAGATCAAACCAGTCAATCCTAAAGGAAATCCGTTCTGAATATTCATTGAAAGGACTGATACTGAAGCTAAAGCTCCAATTTTGTGGCCACCTGATGTGAAGAGCTGACTTACTGGAAAAGACCGAGGGCAGGATGATAAGGGGACGGCAGAAGATGAGAGGGCTGGATGGCATCACCAACTCAATGGACTCGAGTTTGAGCAAACTCCAGGAGACGGTGAAGGACAGGGAAGCCTCGCGTGCTATAGTCCACGGGATTGCAAAGAGTTGGACATGACTTAGCAGCTGAACAATAAGATATATGTCTGATTATCACACTGGGAAAGAAGTACAACTATACTCCAGTGAGTACAGCCAGGGATGCTACTAAGTATCCTGAAATGCACAGGACTGCCCCCAGTGACAAAGAACTATTCAATCCAAAACATCAGTTGTACTGAAGTTGAGAATCCCTGTATATGCCAATGTGTAAATTAAGAAATAATTCAGTTACAATGTATATACATGTGGTCAATATGTATGAAGTACAATATGCCACAGACTACGATAATGGAGAATATACATTTTTAGCAGTAATTTGAGACTGATAAATTTCAAAACAACAGATTTATGTGAACATGATTAAGCAACCCCAGCCATACATTACTGCTTTTTTTTTTCTTCCTTTGCTCTGTGGTCAAAGATTATGCTATGAAAAGACCCAGGAGTGAGTGGAACAGGGCCACTGCAAATTCAGTGGTCACTGGTCATTACAAAAAAATCCTGGTCTTCACTCCTAAATGATAATCATTGTATTCATCAACTGATTCACTCATGAGCAGTGTAAATGTTGACACTTTCTTCTCTTGTCAAATCCTTAAATATATTTTTTCTCCTTAAATATATTTTTTTCTCCTTGCCTCACTTAGAGATCTTAGAATATCTCTGAATGATGATGACAAAGACAACTCTAACACCGAAAGACTGAGTAGGAACACATTCCAGATAAGTACTAGGTATGTCACACTACTCTAAGTACATTTCCAGATAGGATATACTATTCTCATTTTAGAAAAGAAAACCCAATGCTCAGAGAAGTTCAAAGTAAGTTGCTTACAGTCATACAGAGAGTTTATGTGATAGAGTAAAAATGCAAAATGAGCCATGTAAGCCTCAAACTCTTTCCTCCCCACCTGTTGGGAACTCTGAGCTTGCACACTATCTCACAACCAGTTGTTTTACATATTCCCCAGGATCAACCACCAAGGTGCCTTTCTGGTTTTTACATAATTGTCTTTCTCCCAAATATTCATAAGCTCATTTTCTTCGTCTAAATTCAATTTTTCAGAAGTGCTCAAGTCCCACATCTCCTAAAATAAAAAGCAATAATCCTATTTTATTAACCCTGAAGCTTTCTCTAGTTGACTGAGCAAGTGGTCCACATAGTCACTGCCATGTCAATCTTCTCATAACCTACTCTGATTCAGCATCTTATAATTTGGTATCTAATTTTTATACTAATAAAACTGTTAGTATTGATAATTAATGTTTACATGGTATGCAACATTTTAGTGACTACTTTCCTCACTTTTTAAAAATTAAATAAACTAGTCTTTTCTCTGTCAACTGACTTTTACTTCTCAATTGACAATACCAACCATCCATTATTTTCCTTCTGAACACTTAATTTTCTTGGCCTTCTTTCATCCTTCTTGACACACTATGGGGTTAACAAAGGTAGACTGCACTCCAGATTCCTTGCTTTAAACTATGGACATCCCTAAAATTTCATTCACAAAACCATGTTGCTATCTATTCTTGCTCTCAGAGAAAGAGGTCAGTTACTCTCATGGCTCAACTGAGACCTCAGTCAGAATTATTTCCAAATAAAAGTCATTAAACCTGCCAAAATGAGAGCATCTTATCATTAGAAGAGACCTATGACATTATTTAGTTCAGACTCCCTCCCAGGAAAGAAACTCCCAGCAGAACACTGATAGTGAGCCAGAGCCTAATTAAATATTCATGGTAGCTAAGAAGATGCTGACTCATGTTAGTACATTTTATTTTCAAGACATTAGCTCAAACTATGAAATTTTCTATTAACCTGTCTTTCTAACATTAATTAATCAGTGCTGCTTCTGTCTCTGGGTTACACTGAATCAGTCATTTCCTTCTTCTTCTTCATGCTAATACTTCTTTATATAGTTGAAGACACACATGATTCCTCTAGCCCAGTGGTTATCAACCAGGAGAGTTTTGCCTTCCAGGGCACATTTGGCAGTGGCTGGAGACCTTTTTGGTTATCAACACTTGGTGGAAACAAGTGGATGTTGGTAAATATGCTATAATAGAGAGGCCAGTCCACCTCCCAATCACAAAGATTTTCCCCAGCCCAACTTGCCAATAGTGTTGAAACCATGTTCTAGTCTGAATTGCTGGCACAGAAGTTATACTTCCCATGTTATTTCCAGGTTAACATGAAACTGCTGAAATATGGTACTGAGACTTGATCATTTACATATAATCTAAGGATCCATTTAATTTGAATTTAAGTCCCACCATATAAGAATTTTAACATAAGAGATAAATCTGCCATATACAAACTGAATTAAAGAATAACATTCATAGTAAAAGGAACTAATATCTACTGAGTAATATGTACCAAGCACTGCATGCCATGTTTCACATGCATTAATTCTTTCATTACCACAATCACACATGATATATATTCATTCTAAAGATGAGAAAGCTGAGGTCATGAAGAGTTTACGTAAATTGCCAAAGTTACCAAAGTCTTAAATTCCAAGTCCTCCCCTTTACGTTGCCTTGTCTATTATCTTCCAGCTAAAATGTCAAAATACATTCAATTTTATCATCCCTTATATTCAATTGGACATCACATCTTGCCAATTATTTCTCTCACAATGTCTGCAGTAATAGGCAACAGTATAAGCACCAAAATCCATTCACATTTAATGATTAAACACAACCTAAATACCAATAAAAAGTATTCATATTTAATAATCAGTAATTTCTACTTTATTGACTATGCCAAAGCCTTTGACTGTGTGGATCACAATAAACTGTGGAAAATTCTGAAAGAGATGGGAATACCAGAACACCTGACCTGCAGCTTGAGAAACCTATAGGCAGATCAGGAATCAACAGTTAGAACTGGACATGGAACAACAGACTGGTTCCAAATAGGAAAAGGAGTACGTCAAGGCTGTATATTGTCACCCAGCTTATTTAACTTATACGCAGAGTACATCATGAGAAACGCTGGGCTGGAAGAAGCACAAGCTGGAATCAAGACTGCTGGGAGAAATATCAATAACCTCAGATATGCAATGACACCACCCTTATTGCAGAAAGTGAAGAGGAACTAAAAAGCCTCTTGATGAAAGTGAAAGAGGAGAGTGAAAAAGTTGGCTTAAAGCTCAACATTCAGAAAACTAAGATCATGGCATCTGGTCCCATCACTTCATGGGGAAAAGATGGGGAGACAGTGGAAACAGTATCAGACTATTTTGGGGGGCTCCAAAATCACTGCAGATGGTGACTGCAGCCATGAAATTAAAAGACGCTTACTCCTTGGAGGGAAAGTTTTCACCCACCTAGATAGCATATTAAAAAGCAGAGACATTACTTTGCCAACAAAGGTCCATCTAGTCAAGGCTATGATTTTTCCAGTGGTCATGTGTGGATGTGAGAGTTGGACTGTGAAGAAAGCTGATCGCCGAAAAATTGATGCTTCTGAACTGTGGTGTTGGAGAAGACTCTTGTGAGTCATTTGGACTGCAAGGAGATCCAACCAGTCCATCCTAAAGGAGATCAGTCCTGGGTGTTCATTGGAAGGACTGATGCTGAAGCTGAAACTCCAATACTTTGGCCACCTCATGCGAGGAGTTGACTCATTTGAAAAGACCCTGATGCTGGGAGGGATTGGAGGCAGGAGGAGAAGGGAACGACAGAGGATGAGATGGCTGGATGGCGTCACTGACTCGATGGACATGAGTTTGAGTAAGCTCCAGGCACTGGTGATGGACAGGGATGTCTGGCATGCTGCGAACATGGGGTCGCGAAGAGTCAGACAGGACTGAGTGACTAAACTGAACTGAACTGAATTCACAATATCCTCCCCTCCAAAAGAGTTACATGATCAAGGTTCAGTTTAGGACAGTAAAGACTTATTTCTCCACTTGGAACTTCATCTTTTTGATGTAAATTTCATGACACAGTAAAAAGTGTCACTTTATAATCATACAGAAAGCCAGTATAAAATTTTTCAGTTTTAATGATTTTTCCTCCTTGAGAACAGGAGATATATACACTTTAGGAGTCTATATGTTTTCTATGTTAATTTATTCTAGGTTGATAATAAAATGTAAACAGAGATTATGCTGATGAGAAATTGGTAAAATCAATAAATAGTTTAAGCAAATTTTCTTCTAATATTCTAATAACCTCCAATAAATATTAAAAATTCA